CGGTCATACTTTGAATTATTGATAAAAAAATTAACCTAAATAATGAACTTGGTATTAAATTATAAAATTCATTCTGTACTGTTTTTGTTTCAGACATTAATGTGTGCCATTACTTTTGGGTCAATAACGGGACAGTATTTTATTATTGTTTTGGCCAGATTATTCATTTATTAAAAAAAAATATTTAAAAAATAATTTCAATTTGTCTGCCAAATCAAAGACATTTGGTCTGACTCCCCAAAAACTGATATTTATGAAGTAATAGTTCATGATATTTGTTTTAAAAAATACCTTAATTTTTTACAAATATTTAAAAGTTAAAAAATGTATATGCTTCCAATCACATTTATTAAATTAAAAATATATAATTTGTCAAAACCTCCAGCATTAATGTGCACAGTTCTAACAAATATATATTTAAAATACTGTTCTTTTTCTTTATTGTAGAAATCCCTCACATTTCACAACTTTAAAATCAAATGTGAGTTAGAAAATCAGTTTTTATAGACATTGCACAACAACAAATCTTTCTCTGTGACCAGTAGATGGCAGAAGTCTTGATCTAGAAACAAGCCTCTTCCCTTTGCCATAGTCTGCTGAGAGCACACGTTCTTCTTCACACAACCCAAACTCTCTGCAACTTCAAGACAGCTGTGGCTGCGAGGATAGAGCAGAAATAAGGTATGGGAATCAACATGTCCTTCCATCATAGTGAATACAACTTGACAAGATGCCTACCGAGCGTGACTGTGCTTGCAGGAGAAGATGACTGGCATAAAGTGCGTGGCTGATATACAGATGAACATCTGACATGCCAGGGGAAGGAGGAGTGCTGTGCTGTGGATTTGACAGGCACTCAGTGCTTGGGTGTGGTGTTAAAACAGGTACAGACAACTCGGTCTGTCAGCATTCAGAGAAAGTGAAATGTTCAAATGCCGCCGCAATCACATCCCTCATTTTCACTTTGAATAAAGCTGCATGTGTTTTTTGGCAGGCTGTGTATGATGGTGTGATCTGGCATGTGGATGTGGGTTGGAGAAGCAGTGGCTGATCATTAGGGCACTAAGTGTAAACAGCAGCAGGCCCACAGGAGAAGCCTAACGTGGCCTCCTCACAGAAGATCAATAGCCCATCCACAGAGAGCAGCACACACACACAACATATCCTTAGCAACAGTCTTTGAGATTCACCACCAGATTTCCCATTAAAAATGAGAATTCTGTCATTATTTACTCATTGTTTATTTAAAAGTGAAAGTGAAAAGGAACTGTCAAGCTCCACAATGACAAGAAAACACCATAAATGTTGTTCATTTGTGTCACAAGACGCCTAGGAATGCATCGCGATTTTGTGACAATGTATACAGTTTTTATAGTCCATTTCAGTGCTTAAATTTCAACTTAAATTTCAGTGTGTTTCTCACAAAAAGTTACAGTTTGGCTTCAGAAGACTTGGAATATAGTTCTTGAGTTGCATGTACCAAAAGCTGTAGTTTAGTAATGCTGCTTTTTGTCATTTTGAGACAAAGTTATGAATAGAGTTCTCCTTCACTTTCATGATTGAAAACTGCGGTCATGCATTCTTCAGAAATTCATCTTTGTGTTCCATGGAAGACATTCAGTCATAAAGGTTTGTTCATGAGGGTGACTAAACGCAATGTTGTTTTTGTTAAGTAAAACCAAAACTATTAGCAATATAAACAAATAAAGCTGAAATAAAATAAAACAAATATATGAAATAGTTGAAAAAATTTTATGTAAAACGTGAAATGAATATTAGAAATGTTGCCAAAAACCAAAAGTATTCAAATTACTAAAACTGAAATAAAATAAATGGAAACTAAAACAAAATTCATGTAAAACACATAACAATATTACTAAAACTTAAACTAAAATTCAAATAAAAACTGAAAATATAATATAAATATAAAATAAGATATTTCAAAATGTTATATTATATACTGCATAAATACTAGAATAGTACATAAAACACCAAAGAAGGTAAAGTTGTATGTCATGTGTTATTTCAAGTGAAGTATTTTCAAATACAATTGATTGTGTCCATCAAAGTATGTTTACATTTTAATGCCATGCCATCATCCAGAGCTATTTTCATGGTGACGAAAAAGTATGACTGATATATCTGTGGTGTCTCCCACTCTTTTTATAAACATTTTTAGGTAAAACATTTCACACTGCGCACTGTTATAATTCATTTTGGCAATGTTTTCAAATGTTGTATTACAAGTAAATGTAAGTCATGTAAAACTTCTTGACCAGATGCTGTGCACTGAAACATTAAATAATAGGCCAGATATGCTGATGTATTCCAGGGTGGAGGATGGGTATGTTATAGTCTCCATAGAAACATAGCTCCAAACTCTTGTGGAAAGTCCCTTCCCAAATGCTGACCACAATGTGTCTGTGTATGTGATTGCATGCATTTAACATTTAGTCTAATTCTATTCCCCCCATAATGGGGTTTATGAGTATTCTCAAAGAAAATATTATAGACTACCATTGTCATTTAAACTGACCCGGGTGTGTCTTAGCAAAATGAACAATAGTCATATATATCTCACTCCATGTAAAAATTTGTTTTCTGGTTGAAACAGAATGTTCTACTCATAGCAAGCAGAACAGAAAATTTGTTTCATAAGGCTATTTACATGAAGTACTGTGGGCACTGGACTGCAAACTTACTCTCAGAACCAGAAAACAAACTGCTTCTTGATTGTGGCTAGAAGGGATACAGCTGTGGCCGGAAACTAACAATGAAATAAAATTTTCTACCTATTAGGTTGTGTTTTATTAACGTCTACACCAACCCTAAACCTACCCCTTGCAATAATGCAAAAACAGTAATTATTGTACAGTGTGGCAAAAATTATGCTATACTGATGTGTGTATGCCCAGTAGCCACACCTGTATACCATCTAGCCTTAAAGGGTTAGTTCACCCAAAAATGAAAATTAGCCCATAAATTACTCACCCTAAAGGCATCCTAGGTGCATATGACTTTCTTCTTTCAGACGAATCCAGTCGGAGTTATATTAAAAATGTCTTTGATCTTTCAAGCTGTTTAATGGCACTCAGTGGGTGTTGCAGTGCATCAGTCCAAAAGAAGTTAAATAAAAAGCGCCCATCCATAAAAAAAATGTCTCACACAGCTCCGGGGAGTGAACAAAGCTGTGTAAAATGGAAAAATAACCATATTTAAAACGTAATAATCACTTTAATCTAGCTTGCACTCACTGTTGTACATGGAAGCAGCTCTGGGTGGATGACGTATCAGGTCAGCTTTGCGCATGCGCCGCTCAGAAGTAACAAACGCAGAAGCGCAGGGGAGAGATCAAAACAAAACAACGGTCACTAATTAGAAGTACAAAATGAGGATTTGTAAAGAAGAATGTCGGAGGATTTCGATATAAGCCAAGAGGAGACTGGTTTTCCTTTGCTAAAGTAAGGAAACTCCTTCCTTTGCTCCTGTTAACAAACGTTGATTTTCACGAGACTCACCAGCGCATGCGGAGCGCTGACCTCATACTTCATGCTCCCGGAGCTGCTTCCGTGTACAACTGTTGGCGCAAGCTAGATTAAAGTGATTATTACGTTTTGAATATGGATATTTTTCTTACAAAAACTCATCGATTCGCTACAGGAGGCCTTTGTTCACCCCCCGGAGCCGTGTGAGACACTTTTTTTTATGGATGGTTGCTTTTTGTTTAACTTCTTTTGGTGTGATGCACTGCAACACCCGCTTGGTGCCATTAAACAGCTTGAAAGATCAAAGACAATTTTTAATATAACTCTGACTGGATTCGTCTGAAAGAAGAAAGTCATATACACCTAGGATGACTTGTGGGTGAGTAATTTATGGCCTAATTTTCATTTTTGGGTGAACTAACCCTTTAACCCTGCTTCTTATTCTTAATCACAATGGTCAATGCGATATCTATAGAGCATTCTAGCTTTATTTTATATACACATTTATTATACACATTGGTAACAGTTTTACCATTTACTGCACTTTGTTTTTCTTCTAGGTGTTTAACTATAATGACTAGTGAAGTGAATAATACACATTTCCCCCCCCTCCAAACAAATCCAACCGCAAGCCCCGCCCCCCGCCTGATTCTAAAGATTTCATTGGTCAATCACAACTCTAAAACAAATAGTAAACTCTAACCTAATGCACATTCTGATAGTAGCCTATTACTATTTGTTGTGATCGAATACATCCACGATATTTCATCACTGAAACACTGAACTTAATCCTTGAACTTTTTTTGACAGGCGACTGAATGATTTGACAAATGACCAATTCGGCTGCTAGCTGAACTGGTTTGTTGGGAAAACAATTATGTGGATAATTCAGATATTTATATAATAATACAAGGCCGCAGATGTGGCCACGGGCATGCTGATATTTGTGATATATTTTGCTGATGCGATATTGCTTTCATAAAACAAGAAATTAAACTTATAACTTATATTGTCTATTTCATACATTTCTTTAATAAATATCGCCGGCAGAGTTCCAAAAGAAGCCACGGCGTCTATCTTTTCATGTTTATGCACAGGTCTGGAACACTCAATGGGTGGAGCGGAGTGACACAGCTTCAGAGCGTTCTATAATCACTCGGCTGTAGCTCCACGCCGGGATTGCCATTTCCTGTTTCTGTTCTGAGCGAATGATACAAACTGTGCAGTTTCGCTTCTCAGAGTTTTTGTACTAAATAGCAGCACTCTCGGAACGCTGCTGTGTATATCAGATTAGAGAAACTAACTGACATTTAATATTAAACTTTAAAACACACCATTTATTTATGGAGCCACAAACGTCATTATGTTTTCTATACTTTTAATGGAGCAGCCTCCAATACCTTCTCTTTAACTGGGCCGGCCAACTGCTCCATATTTGGATTACACATTCACACACACACTCTTACGCACGCCTCCACACACTCACTCCCTCCGTCACACACACACACACACACACTCACTCACTCACTGGAGGTGGGGGTACGGAGAGATAGAGCTATAGCTCGGCTGCAGGCAGCAGACATCATTGTACGAGAGGAGGGGAGACGATTCCACCGGCAGTGCGCGAGAACGCACGGAGAGCCTCCCGCGACCCTGCCCGTTATACCGTACAGTAAGTCCGTGCATCTAATTTACCAGCACAAAACTGTCTTTTAGATTTGCTTGCGATCTTGGAAAATGGCTGGGAACTAAAGGACGCAGGAGGAACAGAGTGTGACGTTTATTTAAAAACCTTTGTAAATATTTACTGTGACAATTGCACTAATTATTATGTCAACCTGTCTGCGGTCGACCTGGCGAGATGTTCAAGATGTGCTGTTTGTCATCTCGATTAAAAATTATATAACTACTTTGAAGTCGCTCACTGGAAGTGGGGCGGTTACTTGTGAGCTGTAAGCCCGAGCAGGGAGCGCTCTCGCCGGGGCTGAGTAACTGCGCCACCCCGCCTCCTTTCATCGCTCCAGATAGACTTATAAACATCCATTTATCTGCGGGTTATTGACCAGTCAGCTGTACATGTTTTTGTTTTTTTGAAACAAACTGACACTCGTCCTAGCTGTGCGCACTTCTGCTGAGTCAACACTGTTGCTGGAAGCCTATTGATGTGAAAACACAATCGCGGAAGTGTTAAGAGTTGCGACTTCGACCCGTTTAATCCACGGCGACGCGACTTATGCAAGTGCATTTATCGCCCGTGTCTGTTTAATTAAGAACAGCACGTACAACAAGTAGGCTACAACACTTTTGTCTCCGCTTCACTGTCACTGTGTTTTAATAGACATCGGTTGTGTACCAAAATCTAGCGAGCGCACCATAGCGCATGGTTCCTAAAACGCGGTGTGATTTGTTCAGCGCGCTCCGAACAGACTCCAGTAATGCTGTCTAGGTAGGCAGCCTTACTAGGCTTTGAGACGCAGCCATTGAGTGTATCCCGTCGGGATGTCACTCGGTTCATCCCGGCTGGTTATATAATGAGCTGTTGCTGTGTATATTTCATGTGTTGCTGTGTATATTTCATGTGTTTGCAGGGCTTACGGTGCTTCATGCATTGTGACCGACATGCAGTGCCAGGTTTTGTTGCTTTACTAAATAAACCGTGCAATTTAGCGTTGATTATGCATTAATCAAGTTGACAGCATTAAGGAGGTCTTTCGTTCGAATAACATTATATCAAATACTATACTGTACTATGGGATATGTACATTAATACACTATGCAGCATATAGACTTGAGGTTGTGCACAGTTTACAACAGTAATATACTGTACTGTACCAAACTATATTGTGCAATGCATATAGCCTTAACCATTTACATGTGCAAAGATTTATTGCTCGTGTCATATAACAGTTAGGCATATGTTACACTTTATACTGTAATGCATACTATAGTATACTCTAATGCAGTATACTATGATATACTGCACTGTACTATGAAACACATTGTTTTGACTTTTGATCTGAGGTGATTGTGAACAGATTTATGTGGCAGTTGCATATACTATACTATGTAATAGCTATACCACTATACCTTATTGCACATATGACAGTACATCATATGTTATACTTTACTGTACTAGAGTATACTATAATATACTGTACTAAGGATTCTACACTATATTGCGATGCAAAACTTTCATTTTTAATTTATTTCATTTTATTTAATTGTGTGCACGCTTACAATGGTTAATGCACATACTGTACTATACAATAGTGTACTATAATATGTATACTATGCGACCTATTGCTTTTGCTTTTAAATGGACTTCATTGTGCAGTGTGCACAGGTTTATGGTTTATGACAGGTGCAGCATATTCTAATCTATATTATTCTATGCAAACTTTCATTTTTTAATGTAGTGCATTATGTGCAGTTTTACAGCTCATAGGACTTTTGCAGCAAATCTGAAGCAAAAAAATAAATAAAAAAATCCATGTGAAAACATTGTTACTCCCAAATGGCTGTTTGAACAGAAAATATCTTCCTTGAGTCAGTTTTCTGAAGAGATTTAATTCACTTTTAGACTTTGCATGCCATAAAGAGGCAAAGAAAGAAGACAGACTTAGTGAGAAATTAAATTTACTGCGTGAGACATTCTTGCGTTGAATGTTGAAAGACCAGCATGTTCAAATAAATAAAGGAGGATTATTTGCAGGGTCACCGTCCTACAGTTTCACCGTGTTCTGCCGAGTATTGCCTCTGCATGCTCGGTTTTCATGCTTATTATTAGTGTATATTTCCAAGGCTCTTGGATGATTAAGAAATCCTTGCGCTTTTAATGAAAATCCTATTGTTTCGGAGAGCGCGTGGATTAGTGTTTCCCCTTTTTTGTGCGTTTGTAATGCATTTCAATCAGTATGGGCTGCCCTTTGCAACCTGGGACTAAGCTGTCTGCTCTGATTATGCAGTGAATGCTTTTTTCAGAGGGATTTGTGTGGCGGTGAATTGCTCAGTGCTATAACTCGGTAAGCAAATCTCTGTTTGATGGCCCCAGTACCACTTACTTTTAAATGCTAATGAGTAATAATTAAGACACCGAGGATGGCCTAATCATAAGTGTTCTAGTGCGTCTGCTCACTTGTCGCTTGTAAAGTGCTCGTTCTTGTTTCTCCTTAGTATCTGCGCTGTTCAAACTACCACAGTGTCAATGGGGTTGAGTTTGCTGAACCCAACTGAGCTTGTGACAGATGCAAGCAAGGCTAACTTGACACGCTCGAGTGCCAGTGAAATATGGAGGGACACACCTCCACCTGCAGACAGTGCTTACACAATGCCGCTGTGATTGACAGGGACAGTATCAGCCAATGGGTGAGTAGAGCCAGCTGGACCAGAAATTTGTTTACACATTGGAGGGGTGGCGCTTCAGTCAACCTGGTTTCACCCTTTGCTGGAAAATGAGTGTCAAGTTAGGCCTATCCAGGCAAGCTCTTAAAGTACACTCCCTCACAGGTATGCATGCATGAACTCAAGACCTGGGCCACATTGTTCTGCAGCATAAAAGGCAAATTAATGTAATGCCAATTCTTTCTTTGAATTCTAAGTTTGTTGGCTATAGCTGCTTTTTTTGTGATTGCACCGAATCTGTGGATGTGTTTGAACCTGGTATTGAAATCTGTCTTGGGTCATTTGATCGCAAATGGCCATCTGTTGCTGTTTATACATCTTGCATGTTACATACGTATATACTTTTGAAATTTTAATCTGGCCACACGTGATGTTTTGAGCAGAACGCCTTTATACTACGTTCTTTGTTCTGCATAACACAAAAGAAGATATTTGAATAATGTTTGAGCTGTTTTTGTTTATACAGGGTCCAAACAAACCCTAAACTAAACACTAGTTTTTGTATTTTATGTACATTTTCAACCTAGACTCATTGAAAAAACATGCCTCTTCCTAAATTTTTGAGCTTCAAAAACATACCTATACAATTCACTGCAGTTTCCAACTGAAATGAACACTTGCAGCAGTAAAACGCTTTTATTCCTTTTCACACTAATGTTTATTACAGAGGCAGATTATTGATTAATAAAGACTTATTCTTGCATGGTTCTGAACTTAAAAGGCTTTTTCCATAGTGTACAATTTTTAAACTAATGCATTTTGACATTTGCGTCACATAACCTGCTCGATACGTACTGTACGGTTTTTCTGACATAGTAAACTTGCTCAGTAGCTCACCTGGTATGCAGGTCACCATTTTTGCTTCAATAAATACATACGTATCTCACATTTGCTCTTGTTTACACTATTGGCTAGGTTTAGGGTATGGTTTAGTAGGGTTAGACATTTCACCTGAAGATCCAGTTATGACATTTTGATTAAACATTATGAGATAAAAAATGTAACATGCATGGATGAATTGTTAACAATAACAAAATAGATAGGATGCATTTTCATTTAATTTAATTCAAAATCCAGTTTTAGTGCACTGGTTGATTGACAGGTGAGTAGGTGGTCCACCACTGCTCTCTGTGACGTCTCAGAATGGATTAACGTTTACACTACAAATGCAATGTAGTCACGTACTTTCAACTCCTCTGAATGTGATGTGAGAGATCCGATTTACACCTCTATTTATCTCTGTCAACTTGTGATCAGATGCGAGAACAAGTGTAAAGGGAGTCTACAGAAGTTCAATGTCCTTTCACAGTGTCAAAGTCTCACAGTAGGGAGAGAGTATGTGGTGGGGAGAAGGAGGCAAAGAATAGGAGGGGAACGGGATCGATTGAGCAATGCTGTTTCCAGACCTTTATAGCCCTTTTCTTTCATCTCTCAGCTCTATTCATTTGGTCTCCCTCCATGGGCGCAGTACACTTCCCCAACCTGCTTTTGTACTCCAGCGCTCAAGAGCTTTTTTTGATATTGAGATGAAAAACATTCCTTTCCCCAATGAGTGGATGTCAGCGTGCAGGCTGCTCGTCTTCCTCTAGACTCCCTGTGACGGCTTTATGTATAGCATGAATTGAAGCTTTTTTATTTTTCAGTTGAACAATGCGATGAACGTGAACGTGCTTGAAACTGTTCATTGTTCAGTGAATGTGCTGATTGTTTTTCTTATTCTTCTTGTCAAAGTGTGGCGCTTCAGGATCATCAATAAATCTCTTCATCCATCTAGAAGCATAGTTAAAAATAAAGCACTTACTCCAGAATTCATGACATATCCAGGCTCTGCAGCTTGGAGAGTAACATACTGTACGCGCGTGTGGTTACTGGACAGTCATTACAGAGTCATTTTGAAGCCTTTTAAAATCGTGTTTAATGGCCTTATGTGGCTTTTGAGTTGGAAATATCGTGATTTTGAGTTAAACTTAAAAAACACATGAATGACCATGCAAAGTCAATTTAAGAGTGGGGAAATTCTCAATGATACCTGGTCCCTGCAATATCTAAGATGTCAGAAGGCAACGCTGCAATATTGAAATAGGGCTGCACAATATAAATTTTTTTTTCGGCCAGATGACTTGGAAAGAATTGATCTTTCAGATTTATTGGGCTGTTTTTTTTCACTATGAAGTCGCTTTTTGGTTGATCAATTTGGGAAAATGTGAAAAATTTGGGTGTATACTCATTAAAAGATCCAACTCAAAGCCATATTGCGATATTGATCAATAT